TTTTTTTTTTTTTTAAAGTCCATGGTGTTGTAGAGGCCAGTCACTGAGTAGTTGTCAGTGATCACCTGGAGCAGTAGGCCGTGGGTGTCCTGGAATATGAGACCACCTCCCATCCCATCCTCACGTCAATACTCCTAGCGCACCCCCTATCCCACTATCCTACCTCAGCGTGACCAGCACTCAGGACCATTACCCTACCAATGGGCAGGTAACTTGGACCGAACAGCAGTGATAGGCACCAGGGCTGATAGGTTGCCCAGGCCTGGCTGGTGGAAGCGGAATCGGACGAGCCTTGTCGAACGGGAACTTCGGACGCCAGGCCCATACAATCTACTACAGGCCCCAAGAGACTCTGGGCCCTAGGTTTCAGACAGGGTAGCACCCATTGAAGCAGTCTTACCGTCTTTCCCCTAGCTTACCCAAGGCCAGGCGGAACTCGGACTGGCCTGAGCGACTTATACCCCTACCCTTACCCCAGGGTCTAAGCCTTTTTTTTATTTTATTTTTTATTATATATATATATATCGTCACAAACAGAACTGCCCGGTAATATCAGGTCCTTATGGTCCTGGCTCCGTTCCATTCTGGGGAGCAGCAGTCCGGTTCCTATTCCACCGGCAAGTCAGGACAAAGTATTACATCATTAAACACACTCAACGCTTCCTTCCGTCTGGCCGAAGGAACCCTGATCAGCATTGATTGCTCCAGCAACCTGGAGGATTGACTGTCAGCTTGCCTTACTTCCACCTTCCCTCTCAGCTCCACTGTACGGACCTGCCAGATAAGTGATAAGGACAAGAAAAGCGGAAGAACTGCAGGAGGTGAAAGGAGGCCTACTCTTCAGAGTTTTTCAACTCCTCCCCTTTCCTCAACCCACTCTCTTGTACCACTACTGTTTTCCTGATTTATCTCTTTCCTTAACCCCTAAACCCTAATGCGTCTTTATCTTTAACCAGATGTCTATTGACACAAGCTATGATTCCTCTCTGGGGCCACTACGCCGCGTGTATGTCTACCCTACTGCTCTGTGATCTCGCTGATTCCAGCGAAGCGAGATCTGTTGCTGTGTCTCTCTGTGAACAATCTTCTTGTCTCTTCCAAACCAGTCTTGGAGGGTCTCCTTCCACGGTGCCGAGTTTACCCGTTCCAAGCCTGTTTTTGATAAATTTCTCTATGATTGCCTGCTTTCTTGGTGGGTCTTCTTTGATATTCTTAACTGCCCGGTTCCAATCCGCTTGACTGCCCAGGGTCTAAGCCTTATATATAGCCACTAGACAGTTCTATCCGAATATCAGTAGGAAACCTGTCCCTACTGCAGATACTAGACCCCACCCAGTCTGTATGTGTATACGCGAAGGCTGTGTATGTTCCGTGTATCTATGTATCAAGATGTACAGACAGCACTATGTGTGGAAACTTGTGTGTATGTAGCCCGTAGGCCATGTATAATTCGCAAGCTTTGTATATGCCCGAAGGCTGTGTGTGCTCTGTGAATCAATGTATCGCAGATGTATAGGCAGCATCATGTGTGTATAAGAACGGGGTAAGCTGGACAGGGACCCCCCCAAGGTCCGAACCAAGCTCGAACCCGTTACCTTGTAACAAACATGTAATCATATGACTCTACCATGTGAACGACTAGTGGAAATGGCACGAACATGTGATATGCCATACTGGGGAGATGAACAGAACACCCAAGACCAACACCCCCAAGCAACCCATGTGAAACCCGGAACCAACATACAACACCATGAACAACCCTTGTTGTGGGTGGTGCGCAGGCAGTGTCGGTAATAGCTAACCTGCGTCATCCCAAGGGGGTGTGTGTCCGGCCGTGCGTCATTCTAACGCCCTGCAGGTGTCCATGGGCAAGGCTACGGATTTGAACCCGCAACCTCATACCACAATGCGCATTTCCAACCGGTGCTCTAACCACTGAGCTATTCTATGGATGCTCTGGTACAAACGCTGTGTACATGCTTGCGGGGAAGGAGTTGGATTGGGGGTGGTTTTCCTTTTCCTGTCTTCTTGTTTTTTAGGTTCTTCAGAGCAAAAACCTTGTACTAGGTCGGTAAAAAAAGAAAAAAAAGAAAAAAAAAAAGAAAGGGGTAAGGAATCTAAGGACAGAAGGTATGGAAATTTCTGAAACAAATAAACAAGTTGTTTCCGACAGAGATTTGCGCCCAAAGGTCGAACACAAAATCCAAATTACTAACCTTTCAACCAAAAAACTGGTAAACAGAAGACAATTCAAAAATTCCCAAAAGACTGGCGGGGGGTGGGTATAGGGGGAGGGATGGGTCATGTATCATGGCCAGGCGGGGGAGAGGGTTCTATTGTCCCCTTCAAGCAAGATTATCATCTCATTTTGCATGAATGGATGGTGGCGACCCAACCGGGTGCTCAGTTGAGACCTCCTAAAGACTTCCCAGATGTGTTCCCTCCCTCAGCAAGGGAGATTGTGGATATGCAATGGTTTGGGCAAGCAAGCTGAGGAGGGAAGACGTGATCGTTCACGATCTTTGTCACAAGTATACTTAAAGCATAGGCAGGCTAGAGAAATCAGGCTATATTTGGCGGTCCCCATAGGAATGAACAGGCAGGCCTCAGCTCACTCAGCTCACATATCGGATGACTATTCTTCAAAGACATACAGCATTCTTAATGTACCAGCCTACCAGGGACGCTGGACCCTTTTTTTTTTTTTTTTTTTTTTTTTTTTTTTTTTTTTTTTGTAAAGAACATCTCTTGTGGGTGATACCCGTGTTGATAAAAGCAATCACCGCTAGCACCCCAAGGAGACTCCATCTATTGGTGGGGACACTGGGAAGTATCATCACCTGCTGGAAAACGGGTTCAGCATCCCCTGTACAACAATTCTCTGAGATTGTCTGAGGAATGTAAGAATGGGGACAGACAAACTTTATCCTCATCACAGACAAACAAAGGACCCCCCACCCCACCTTCCCCCACCTCTGTCCCCGCTGCCATTCACTGGTCTGCACGCCCGCGCGCAATGGAACAGCTCCCCTCGCTGCACAAGTCCCTTGCTACACAATACCACTGCCCCAGCCAGGTCTCCGCACATTCACTCCTCGAATACAATGGTATTTTTATACCAGGCAAATCGTTGACTCTACCTCCTCGAACCATAACAATAGAGTGCTCTTGTAAATTATGGCCTTCTCCCCGAATGTATGCAATATCCTCATTTCGATTGATTAATCCCCCCTCCCCCCCCCCCCCCCCCCCCCGCCACGCCCCATGATCTGAAGGCATCATGTACAAGTCAATGCTGAGTCCAGCCTTCCGGCACGGACGACAGCAGCTGGGACACGAAGATAGAGCCATCAAGGGACAGCACACAGGTGCCCCACCATGCTTCCTTTTTCTTTTCTTCTTCTTCTTCTTCTTCTTCTTCTTCTTCTTCTTCTTCTTCTTTTTTTTTTTTTTTTTTTTGCCCCTCCATGCTTCCTGCACCTGATAATTACAGAAGACAACCTTGGCAGAAATGCAGATGGGAACCCAAGAGCCTAGCTCAGTGGGTACACCCATGAACTGTTGAAATACAGACCCGTGTTCGAACCTACATGACAGAACTTGACGAGCAAACTCAAATATTTCCGAATTGCCTGGGGCCGGTCAGCTCAATGATGATATCTCAAGACCGCCGCCTCCTTTTAAATAAAAAAAAAAGAAAAGAAATGCACATGGGGTCCTTCCAGACATCCGTTAAAATTGGAACGATACAGAGACGATTAGCATGGCCCCTGCGCACTCAAGGATGACACGCATAAATCGAGAAATGCCAGAAATGGTCCAAATTAAAAAATAAAAATCCGATGGGGCCTTTTGCCATCATAAGCAGCAGAACGACAGCCTTGCCAGAGCAGAAGTTGTGGCGAACGGGCACAGCAAACAAAGGACAAAGGATGAGGCCAGCGGATTCAAGAGGTGAATAGGGGTTACGGAAGCTTACAGGTTGAGGCCGGCTGGGCGCAGACCCCCCAAGGCAGACCACCAGACCGGAGTCAACGAAAGCATACTGGTGGAGGCTGAGGGGGAGCAGACCCCTCCCTCGAGGGCAATCTGCTGGATTACAACGGGCAGGGCTTCTCTGCAGCAATGTATAAAAGTAGGCCAGGGAGTGGATATGATCTAACTATGTGAAAGAAAGATAACCTACAGCTAACGGGCACTGGCTAGTAGTGGCTACACAGTGCTCCTATGTAACTCCTTGAGACGGACACGACTTATTTCATGCGTGGAGCATGCATGAAAGACACCTGGAATGACAAACTCATTCCGGGGACCATAGCCTGTCGTGAAAGGAGATCACTGGATTTAGCCAGGCTGTTCTGTTGTAGAGGGACACTGGATCCTATTTCCAGCAGGTGCAGCTCCCCCACCAATGGAACGGAGCCATCAATCTGCGGAGTCGTGCTGGGGTTGTCTGCTCCTACCAGCACCCTTAACACACCCGCACCCGATGTTGTCCCCCCCCCCCCCCCCCCCTCCCCCCCAACCACCAAAAAAAAAAAGAAAAAAGAATGGGGCCTGCCAGCATTGATTACCCTGGGACCCAGGGGATTGACTGAGCAGCCGTAACGAGGGGAATCATCCCTCCAACAGGGGTACAGGGGCTGCCTCTTCTGCCCTGCTGCTCCGGGCACCAAAAAGACCTCTCCTTACCTAGGCCTCTCTCTCTTTACTGAGCAGCCTCCTACCCTTTTACTCGCGTTGCTGAAGATTCAAGATTAGAATCCGTTAAAATTGGAACGATACAGAGAAGATTAGCATGGCCCCTGCGCAAGGATGACACGTATAAATCGAGAAATGGTCCAAACTAAAAAAAA